GTGTTTGGTAACGTGGGGTCAGGGAGATGGACAGAGGGGCTGCAAACCCTGGGCTTGAACACAGCCAGGACGCTGAGGACCACACAGGACTGTGCAGATGCTGCTTTCTGTTGCAGATTGGGTCTCTATGGGTCAGAACCCACGCACACTCCACGGCACCTCACAACAAAGGCCTTGCCATCTGCTCTGGTCCTTGAGGCATCTCCAGTCCTCTCTGTTGCTCTCAGCTGTCACCAAGTCCTGGGGACCCCACAAGTGCAGGGTTTTGAGGCCATGACCATTTGCAAGCCCACCGCCAGGCTGTCTCTCAAGGTGCCTCTGGGTAACGTCTCCCCAGTGAAGCTGGAACCCCGCACTGCAGCGGTCACGGCAGGTGCCAACCCACCCCAGCACACCCCAAGACCTGACCTACACAAGAGAAACCCAGGAGTGAAGCCCTCAGGGTGAGGCCCTCAGCGTGAGAGCTGGGCTGGACACGACACTCACCTGGCCAGGACAGGCTCCGTGCGACATAGGGCATAGAGAGCCAGGCCCACCCCACACAGGAAGATGCTGCGGGCAACTCCCGGCTTCATCGTGCTGAAACCTGCACAGGGAATCACCGTGAGGCCCGGAGCTCCAGGCTGCACCTTTAGCAGAGCCCACCACAGCGGGGATCTAAACACCAAGCGATCATGTCCAACAGCTATTGACTCGCCATGAAGTTAAGGAGCAGATAACTCGAGGTGGTGTGTGCTGCCAGGCGCAGGGGTCCTGGTTCAGCCTCCTCACTCAGAGGTCTTGATTCTAAGACTTAAAATGTAAAAAAGAAGGCAGAGAAGAAAGCCTGAGGGGCTACCTGAGCATGAGGTCCTCAGAGGTCCAGGTGGCTCCAGGTAGAGTGGGGTGACAACACACCTGCAGCCCTCCCATCCCCTGTCCCCAGGGGGGTGACAGAGCACCTGCAGCCCCCCCGACCCGAGGGGAATGACACTACCTGCAGCCCCCCATCCCCTGTCCTGAGGGAAATGACAGTACTTGCAGCCCCCTCCCCGAAGGGGGTGACAGAGCACCTGCAGCCCTCCCATCCCCTGGCCCAAGGGAGGTAACAGAGCACCTGCAGCCCCCTCCAAGCACAGGCTCACTGGACACTGACCCTAAGAAGTTATGACCAGACCTAACTGGGTTTGTCATTAAAGCAGAAAGTTGTTTAGCCCGGTCACACCTGGTAGCGAGATAGCCCCACCTGGCATGCAGGTGACAGTGACCAGCAGACCCACCTTCTGAGAGTTCCTCCAAGGGAACCCCAGGCATTCTGCTCTGCAAAGTCCTTCTGGGGGGACCCCAGGGACACGTGCTCCTGATTCCCTCCCAGGGGACCCACCTCCAAGAGTTCCTCTGAGGGGACCCCAAGTACCCCATTTCTCACAGTCCTTCCAAAAGGACATATGGGCTTCTGAGAGTCCCTCTGCAGGGGCCCAGGCACCTCACTTCCGAGACTCTCTCCGAGGGGACCCCAGCTACCTTGCTCCTTAAATCCCTCCCAAGGAATTTCAGGTACCCCACTCACAGAGTCCCTCTGAGGGGACCCCCAGCACGCAGCTCCTGACAGTGTCTCCGAGGGTACCTGGGGCACCCCATTCCTCAGCGTCCTTCCGAGAGGACCTACACCCCTGCTTTCCCAGAGTCCCTCTAGGAGGACCCATTCACCACACTTCTGAGAGTTCCTCCGAGGTGACCTTCGACACCCCATACCTCAAAGTCACTATGAAGGGGCCCTGGGCACCCCTGTTCCTGAAAGTCCCTCCGAGGGGACCCGGGCACCCCGCTTTGCAGAGTCCCTCCGAGGGGACCCGGGCACCCCGCTTTGCAGAGTCCCTCCGAGGGGACCCCGGGCACCC